CTTCATCCGTCTTGTCTTTTTGTCCATGTCTCTGTCTCCAAACCATATTGTACAACAGTACAAATGGTCTCACCATTGTCTTGTAAACTTTTCCTTTGACCCTTGTTGCCACCCTTTTGTCCATCCACTCAGTCCTGCCTGGACTCTCTTCTTCACCTTTTCCAGATCCATCAATATCTTGAACGACTCTTCGGTATTTATCCAAGTGAGACAAATTACTTCTTCAAATTCCCAAAAGAAGCAACACTTCTTGAGATTAAGTCACTTAAAGAGACAAAACTGAATGTTGACAGGTCACAGTGATGAGGGTGCCCTGCTTACCGAATTTACCTAACGTAGCGCAACGGTCCTCTGACGGTTCCAGCCCCCGGTCGACATTAATGCCCAAAGACATGAGCGCACCCTGCCAAAGCAATTGACTAGGAGTGCATCGATTGCAGTTTTCTGGCCGATCACTTATCACCGATCTCTAAAAAGTCTGACATGCCGATTCCAATTTTGGCTGATACCGATTTTGTTTCATAAGCGACACCGTCAGGTGTCATAAGGTCACAATGTACCTTCAATTTTCCAATCTTATTGTACTGAAAAACATACCCTTGAACAATATCCTAGAAACAATACAAACTTGTTTTAACTGTCCATGAGGTGGTGCTCTGAAATATAAATGAAGTTCAAACAATTGTTGTTAAAAAAATAAAAAACAGTAAAATCGGTTTCTCATGTAAGTATCGGTCGATCTCCGATTTCCCAAAATTAAGGAAACCGGGGCCGATAAATCGGACGGCCGGTTTATCGTGCACCCTCACAATTGACCTAGGGGAAACACTGATTACCAATAAAATAAGTTCTGATTATTATGTTCCTCGAGTACGTGGTTCCATTCCCCTTCAGAGCTGTAAAATTATGTTTCCTTCAAAGATGTTGTCGTTATGTTCTTGTTGACATTTGTACATGGTCTTCATGTCCAACACAGTCTACAGAACGTCTCCCAGCCAAACTAAACTGGACATTTCCTGAGTAACGTTTCAGACGCTAGAAAAACAATAGAAGGACCATGCAGAAATTAATTTGGAATGCGGGGTAATTACAGGAAGAAAGGGCAAGGCGTAGGTTAGAGGTTGAAGTACCATTCATCAACAGTGCTTTGTTCTGATTGCTAAATAGAGCTGCTGTTTATGAAATCCTCGAAAATTGAGGAAGCCCAATCCTAAATCAAGCCTGCTCGTTTTAAAACGTGTCCCCAGAAGCAGCGCTTAGTCGCATGCTGAGCCGTCGAAAAGTATGAATGTAGCAAAAAGTTCCTGCCGACTGATTATCGAGTAAAGACGATGAAACTTTCCGTGTACTTTCGAGCCTTAATTAGCCATCAAAACATTTCGGAGAGCCCATCATTTGCATATAGAGGAAAAAAAGACAGAGTGTGAGTGGCATAATTACAAGGATGACCTATCTGTAGACGGGGAACATGGGGGACACGTCAAATTAGAGACTGATGGAAAGAAAGGAACACAGACAGAGCAGATATGAAATGTGGAGGGGACAGGAAGTCTGAGTTTGAGGGAGTTCAAAGTGACATGTAGACCCCCCCCCAACAAAGACGTCCATCTCCACAGCGTGCAGGAAGACGTCCTCTCAGTGACAACATAGCGTGCTGATTTCTTCCAGCTCAAAAGTAGACTTTCTTTCTTTTTCCAAACCCACGTATAACCTTCAGAAAGCAAACAAAAAGCTCGTCTGTCCTTGTGTGAAGAGCTTGGAAAACCATTTTTTGAGCATGAGCATAAAAGAGCAGCATGCCGCACTGGAGGTGACGGCTAAAAGGCTCATCAAACAAGGCCGATGTGAGCGAGCGCCTCTCTGAAGTGGTCTGCATTTATGCTCCACTCAAACCACACACAGAGAAAACGGCAAAATGTGGAGTGAATCAAACAGCGGGGGCACTGATGACTCCACTTCGCCAGCAGCTGGGGATGAACGTTGCTCAGCGGAGGAACCAACGCACCGGGTAGTGGTGGGTACCATCTAATATTTGGCTCAAGCTTATATTTAGTAGCTACTAAGATGAAAGTAGTTTCATTTTAGTGGGTTTTAAAATGATTTAAATGTAATACTTCTATGCATTTCTATCTTAATCATCGTCCTCATATTGTGTCGCACCAGACTGACGGCTACGACTTTGCTCTGCCGATGACCGGACAGAGGTCTACAGATGATAAATGTACCGGACTTAAGGTGCAGGAAGTTAAAATGTGTTCCATATTCTGGATTTGGTGACAATCACATGCTGCATTCCTGTAACGCCCCCATTTGACCAAGTTGGGTTGGTCTTTCCAACACCGGTTCTTGCCCGATTCAGGGCACACCATTCGTTTCTCTCTAGTCTACGTCTTTTTACCAGTTTTCCCCACGGTATTTGGATGGTTGGGTGCTCCGTGGTTGTTTGTTCCAAACTTTTCCATCAGTTCGTTCTGTATTTCCTGCTCTTGCGTTACTTTGTAGACGTCTAGTGATGATGGATGCGTGGAAGGTGCTTCATTAAATCACCTTGAGCGGATCTGAAGTCATGGTCCGGACAGACGGCGATGCCGTAACAGTCGTTCTCAAACGGCGGGGTGCAACATCACTGAATGTTGTTTTTTTTCCCCTCCCCAGACCGAAACATGTTTGATGTTAGAGACTAGTGGTGTAACGGCACACGTGGGTGTATTGAACCGTTTCGGTACGGCATGTTCAGTTCGGTCCACGCGAGTACTGTTTCGGTTATTTTTTCACTTATTAACGAGAAATTAATGAGAGATTACGCGCCACAGAACTACAGTTTCTAAGCGTGTTTCAGCACAGCACTATTATCTTGCAGCACGCGTAGCATTAGCAGCCTAGCATCTCGTTGTGGTCTCCTGTTTGGGAACATTATGGCTTTCTTGTTAAAAGACAAGTGGACAAATCCAAAGCTGTTTGTCGACTTTGTTTCATGGAGAGTGGATCTGCAGCAGCAACACGTCTAACTCGTTAACACACTTAACGACATCATCCGAACGTGAACGTCTCTTCTAGCAGCTTGGTGCAGAGACCGATAACGGCATTTAAACAACCTTTATCAGGTCGTTCAGATCGGTCCAGAGCAATAACACAAGACGTAGGAGTTTTTAAAGCTCTGGATCTACGTTTCTGTTGTTGATGCGCCGACTTTAAAGTTATTGAGCTCCGCTACGACATCACGTCAACACTTCAGACAAAAAGTTGTAGCAGCACTTTATGAAAATGCTAAAACTGATCGTCAACAAGCCCTGGACCAGATTAAAGTCCTGATGATGATGATGACCGAGAGATTCAACCACCTCATAACAACCGTTCCAAGAAGAGGTATTGTTATTTAATATTATCTAATTAACTTTTTTAATTTAAAATTATAATCTTATTAACTATTTTTTTTTTTTTTTTACCTCTGTTTTATTTCCAGTCTGGGACAGAGACAGCAGCTGAGTCTTCTTCCTCTTCAGGGAAATCCACCAGAGATCACCTCCAGCTAAGAAGTCTGTGATGAGTGAACTCTGAACTTTTCCAGGGACAGGTGGGAGCAGGTCCAAGAGGTTGTGAGTAATGAGGCCAAATACAGCCACACTGCAACATTAGCAAAGCTCTACCTCTTTATTCGTGCTACCTGTTGGTAGTGAGCGGTTTTCTCCACCGCTGGAGATATTTACTAACTAAATCTGTGCTTTTGGCAGAAAATGTGGACAAGTTGGTGTTTTTGGTCAAAAACTTTAAACTTGATTATTTACATTGTAAACAGTCTGTTGCTGCTTGTTGTTCTCCTTCTGACTGTTATTGTATTTATTAAGATTTTTATCGTTTATTTATTGCAAAGAGTGCCGTTTATTTAAAATATCATCCAAATGGGTCGCTTTTATTTACTTTTATACAAACATATTGTTTACTTGGCATATTTTCAAAATAAACGTTTTGTAAGTCTTCATTTTGGCCTTTTTTTGTACCGAAACTGAACCGAACCGAAATGTGGCTTTAGCGTACGGTTACACCCCTAGCATTTATGTGTTTGATGCAGCCTTTAAGGTGTAAATGTTACATCTCTGAGCAGCACAGAAAACCTAAAAACACAAAAGTGACGATAAAACAAACACGTTCCGTTTTCTTCTGTTCTCCGTCTGCGTCCTCGGCTTGTGCGCTCCCTCCGTGTTTTACTGTTTCCATTCGCACCGTGTGAGCAGGTCTGTGATCGGAGGTGGAGTGTTTCATTATCGGGCTCCTCGAGGGAGGGGGAACCCGCTGCGGCACCACGCTGTGGACACCGCTTCCCTTTCTGGGTGAAAAACATCAATTCGATCAGAGGCTGCGCCGCAGACTTGCTGCGCTTTAATTGCGTCAGAGTTTCAGTACCGGCTGAGAACCGAGCCCCCCCTTACTTTCAGCGTGGGTTTATGTAATGAGTGATAAAACCCTGCGGGCGAAAGAGACAGTGTGTCTCTCTAATGAAGACTGATGCAGGAGGATCTGCTGCTCAATAAACACTAACTGCAGAACGTGAGGAGGTGAGCACTGAATCAGCTGATCGGGCCCAGATTTATTATATTTCACTTAATATTTAACCAAAAACAAACCAGGTGCCTTTACAGAGAACTGTGGGACGTCTTTATCTAAATCAAAGGGATTTTCTGCACCTTTGGGCTCACTGTTTTAAAAAAAAAAAGGTGTTTAAAAGCAGGTGATGAATGAGTATTGATTCGTAGCCTGAGTATGCTGACTTTGCAAGTGTACGGAGGTAAATCAAACGATTCCTCGGGTCGGATCAATGAGGGTCCACGGCTGCTTAGCTGAGCAGCAATCCGAGATTTCAAGGCGCTGCAGTCAAAACAAGGAAAGACGGGAAAAGAAAAGAGCAGCAGAGGTAAACGAGGGAGGTGAAGAAGATGAAGTCGTGGAAACGTCAGGGTTACAGCTGGAAACAGAAACGGAGGCAGTTCAGTGTGCGAGCTCACCCGTTGCGGGTCGTATTCCAGAACCCGGCGTCTCGCTGCGTCCAGCTCCTCGTAACCCGGAGCGGCTCGGGCCTGCTGGTACTCCCGGCGCAGCCCCTGGATCCGCTGGTCGCTGCAGAAATCAGGACAGGAAGATCAGTCAAACACGAGAGCACCGCGGCCTAAGCGTCACTCGGTTGCCGTGGAGACGTCCCCCTCATCCGGGAGTTAAACAGGTCGAGGACGGTATATATTCCACGTAATCTTTTATTAAATCCGACGGTATTCTTTGACAACCCCTTGACAGCCCGGGAAAGCAGACAGAAAATTCACAAAGCGGTGCCTCTGAGAAGACATCAGCAGATTTCTGCCGCTGACAGAGGAAGCCCAGGTGGAAGGAAACGGAAACATCAGGAAACATTTTGATGGAGACGCCTTCTCATTTGAAAGTCACACAGAGCAATGGGGGAGCGCTCCTTCACCGAGCTACAGAGAAGACAGTTGGACTGAGCTCAACGGAAAATGAATAAATAAAGTGGAGGGAAAAGAGTGACGAGGAGGAGATGGAAAACAGGACAGAATGAGGACAAAACCTAAAAAGGAACATCCACATGCTCATTGGACCTTAACGCACAACTAAACCGTGCACGAATAAACTAAGGTGTAAAGAAAGGAGCGGTGCGCCGACGTCCTCACCGCTGAGGGGTTTCAGTAGTGAACGCTTGAAGTTTTCCAGATGAGTGGAAGTCGACGAGGAACGAAAGTAAACCTCCAAAATAATCAAATGTGTCAGAGTTACACTGAACAAAAACAGAGGGAGGATTTTTGTGTCTGATTGACGGATCCTGGCGACTGGAGGGAGACATTTAAGGTGCAGGTGCAGAGGTGGAGCCAGAGGGTGGCCAGTGGTGGCCTTGACCACCACAGACTAATTGTCTGCCACCCCGATCATTTGAGAAAACTATACTTTTAAGCACAATGAAAACTAGAAAGCATTTCTAGGAACACACACACATTATAAAATATAATATTATATATACACTTGTGTGTGTGAACTTCAAATCGTGACTCATCTGACCACAGAACAGTCTTCCATTTTGCCACACTCCATTTTAAATGACCCCTGGCCCAGTGCAAACGTCTGAGCTTGTGGAGCTTGCTTACAAATGGCTTCCTCTTTGCACTGTAGAGTTTCAGCTGGCAACGGCGGATTGTGTTCACTGACAATGCTTTCTGGAAGTATTCCTGAGCCCATTCTGTTATTTCCTTGACAGTGGCATTCCTGTTTGAGGTGCAGTGACGTTTAAGGGCCCGGAGATCACGAGCATCCAGTAGAGTTTTACGGCCTTGACCCTTACGCACAGCGATTGTTCCAGATTCTCTGAATCTTTTGATGATGTTATGCACGGTTGATGATGATAACTTAAAAGTCTTTGCTATTTTATGCTGGGTAACACCATTCTGGTATTGCTGCACTATCTTTCTGCGCAACAATGGTGGAATTGGTGATCCTCTTACCATCTTGGCTTCTGAGAGACACTGACACTCTGAGCAGCTCTTTTTATACCCAATCATGTTGTCAATTGACCTAATTAGTGTTAATTGGTCTTCCAGCTGTTCATTATATGCTCAATTTCCTTTTTCCAACCACTTATTGCTACTTGTCCCAACTTTTTTGGGATTTGTTGACACTGTGAAATATTGAATCAACATATTTTTCCTTTAAAATGTTACATTTACTCAGATTTAAACTTTTGATCTGTCATCTATGTTATATTACGAATAAAATATTGACATTTGCCATCTCCACAACATTGCATTCAGTTTTTATTCACAATTTGTTTAGTGTCCCAACTTTTTTGGAATCCGGTTTGTGTGTGTGTGTATATATATATATATATATATATATATATATATATATATATATATATATATATTACTACTTACTACTTGTACTACCATTCCGACATTGCAGTTTTTCCGAGGAACTACTGTGTGTGTGTATATATATATATATATATATATAGATATATTAATGGTGTTCATGTTAACTTGTTATTATAGCGTTAACGCAGCAAATGGTTTTAAAAAGTCGCGTTAAGCTCAGATTGACAACCTGTCACCGGCCGGGTGCATCCGCTGACTCGCCGGTTGAAGTGGACTTGCGATCTGTCCAGGGTGTACTACACCTTTCGCACAGTGACTGCTGGACATGGGCACCAGTGACCTCCGCTACCCGAAAAGGAAGAAGCGGGTAAAGAGAATAGATGGACGGATGGATGGATCAATCAGCTGATCACTGGCTGCGCGCGTTTCCGCACCTCCTCTCATCTGTGGTGAAGAAGCAGCAGCATCTACAAAAGCCGAAGTGAGCAGCGTGTTCAATTAAAATAGCCTTGTTCTATATTTTTCCAAATAATTTTGCTCTAAAAATAGTTTTGTTTGTCTGTATAAAAGCCGATCTTTATAGTTGATTTTTAGGCTATTAGTTTTGTATTTTGATATCCATTTGGTGACTTGTTAATAAACATAAATCTTATCTTCCTTTCATTATGTTTTTAAAGCCATCATGTCAAACTGATTTGTTTACAAAAGCAGTAAAAGTTGTTTTTTTGGGGGATCAGTCCTTTAATTACCGGTAATCTGTTGGGTCCGGGTAGGGCTTGGAAAAAATTTTAAATACGGGCTCGGTCTGGGCCGGATTTATTAGGCCTGAATGCAACTCTAATATATACATGGCGACAACCATCTTGGATGTTGATCCTGATTTGTGAAAGGAGCCTTCCTTACACCTAGATACAGCCACACACCAAAATGGAAGTTGGTACCTCACTTAGTGTTCATGTTACCACGATCGCATGCACGGTTGGACATACGGTCGAATGGTATTTCCAATTCCCCCTCGACTCGGCGACGGGGGACTATAAACAATCTCTCATTCGAACGGTGTGACCTGCAGGCAGATATTGACCCAAACAGAGAGGACAGAGCACTGAGCGGGAGCTTCATTAGTGGAGTCCAAAGCCTGCATGCTTAAGTCTCTCCCGTGACCTCCGTGTTTAATTAGAAAATCTGCTTGGGTGTGCGGTCCTCCGTGCATCCGTCCTTGTGGTTTGGTATGTGGGATGCGCGGTTCGTGACGGCGCACCTCATTTAATGCAGCCCGTCTTCCAGCCGTCTCACTGGGGACAGACGGCTGAGTCACTCAAACGCCTGAGCCGGAGCGTTGATATTCAACGTGTTGCTACGAGTCTGCACAGATCTGTGTTTGAGCCGCAGAAAAGTGCCGGAGACCAACGGGTTTCCTTCCACCAGAGAACGACTTTTAAACGTTTCTGTGCTGCGGTGAAACGCCCGATCATCGCTTCCGTTTTAGAACGACGGACACCTAATCGTTGTCTTTTGACGGGTTTCATTCAGCAAACACTTCACAGCAAAAGAGCCGAATTATTTGTTACCTTTTGTTTTTTTTTTATTGAACTTAAAGGGAACACAGTCCCTCAGAGAATGGCTGCACATTGAGGTTTATTTTCCACGTCACCACCCATCCAATGATCCCAGTAGACAATCCCTGGGCTCGTAATTAGGTCTGCCATTTTGTCCAAATGAAACAATGCTGTAATTATCTCATAATGTCGCAGCCTCCATCACTGTCAACGCCAAATATTATACTAATGGCCGAAGACAGAGGGTGATTGTGTATAAAACACTAGTGGAAGGTGAAGACATATATTTAGTAGCAGTTTGATGGTTTACGATTCAGCAGGCTGATTTCCCAAGTTTGTTTACTTATTTATTTATTTACTGTACGAGTGTTAAAACAGAGCCAGGCACATGCTGCTAATAGAAGCTTAATGTCTTTAATGCGGAGCTAAAAAATAACTTTGACACAAAAAAAATAGCGTGGAGGAGCTAATGAACATCATCTGGTGGCTCTTCAGCCATATTTGGCCTGCAACTCTATTTAGGCCGGCGAAGAGTTAAATCGGGAACTAATTCAACACGATCCAATCAGGACCATGTTGCAGCTCAGAAAGGATTAATGATGTCAGCGCTTTAGCCAATCATCTTTTAATTAAACAATTAGCCAACTAGCTCAGTAGGAGGAGCACTACATAGGGCCGTCACGATAAAAAATGTTGCTGGGCGATTAACTGTCTCGGAAATTATTGCGATAAACGATAATATTGTTTGAAATTTGACAATAATTAGTAATTGTCAAATTTAAGAAAAAACATTGGTTAATTTATTTTGTGGGTAGTACCTTTTTTGACCACCAGACGGCAGTAAAAGACTGTTTGAACCAAAGGATGGATAGTGAGGGAGCGAGCAGCATGTCTCTTTAAGAAAAATGGAAGGGAGACCCCTTGACATGACAAGGACTGTCTTTTTTTCAGTTCTCAAAATGGCGGACGCTCGGTGTGATTTGAGCTCTTAAGCATAGCATTTTTCACACAAAGCTTTTAATTTAAAAAAAATCGTAAATAAGTTCTCAGCTTCTTGGAGCTTCAACAAGATGGAGGTTTTGTTTCCCCCATGTCGGCCTGTTAGCTTAGCTCGTAGCTTAGCTTCTCAGCTTAGCTGCTTTTAACAATCTTAAAACGCGATTTTCGATGGTTAAACCAGATTTTAAAAAATGCAATTAAATTTAATTCAGTTTATTTATATAGCGCCAAATCACAACAAAGTCGTCTCAGGGCACTTTACAGGAACATTCACATACATAGAAAAGCCAGTTAGTAAAGTTCTCTATCTAAGGAAGTCAGTCAAAAAAAGAGAAAAAAGAAAAAGGGAGGGGTCAGTGAAGAGCATCGGAGTTGAGCCTTTTGTCATCCGGTGTCTTCAGTAGAAAGAAAGAGACACGAAGATACGATAAATAGCGCTAAGCTAGTAATGCAAACTCGCTAGCTAAAAAGCTACAGAGGTCGCGCTCCATTTCCCTCATGCTGAGCCGTCTCCACTCCACCACGGACCATGGATAAATAATCCATGGACCCGTACCGGCGTTTGGCCCATTGGTTGGGGATCTCCGCATTCCACATCTACGACTAGACTTCGGCTACGTTCACACTGCAGGTCGTAACGCTCAGACCTGATGCTTCGGTATGTTCCTGTTTTTATTTAAACGTGACC